GTTCACAACAAGGAAACACAAAAAAATTATGGAAACATTTGGAAACACGGGAAATTCCTCAGTGGGAAATTCCCTGTCTCGAACACTGAGCTCAGTGAGCTGCCTTTATATCAATACGTAAACAAAACAATTCTACAGTATAAACACTCGCTGTAATCGAAAAAATGTGGTAATTGTAGGTTTAGAAAGAGGAACAAGAAGACAAAAATGGAATTCTCAGTTTAATTAACAAAAAGAGAACTTGATAATTTAAATGGTAATAATGAAAATTTGTAAATTAATCGATATAAAAAATGATAAAAGTTTTCTGCAGTTATATTATAAAAGATATAAAAACAAATTTTTCCTGTGTTTCTATACAGTTATAGAAACACTTGTAGCAAATGCAGTCATCAAAGGCAACCTAAGAGTAAACCATTTAATTGTACCGTGAAAAATCTTCATCAGCGCAATCCTTAAACTGTTTGAATACAGTTTCTAACGATTTCTCCATGTTAGTTTTTCTTCTTTTTTTTGGTATTGGCTTTGGCACACTAGAGGGCTGCTTTAAAGACCCTTCTTCCTCATATGTTTCCTCCTTTTCATCTATCTTGTCATCATTGGCAGGAACAGTACCTTCAAAGAAAATTTTACTGTTTGGCCATGAATTACTTTAGCAGCTTTGTTATTAATTTAACCCATTGAGTGGCAGCACTGTTTCACCCCTTGACCTGGGTAAAATCATCTGGTGTTATACAGAATGAAATAATAAAATATCAGGGCTCTTTGCCACTTAAACGGTTGATTACCCCATTGAGTGGCAGTCTCTCCTCTTGACGAGTACAATCAGCTGGTGTTAGACAGGGTAAATTAGTAAAGTAGGGCACATCAGGGCACTTTGCCACTTAATGGTTAATGGCCCAAGGTAATGTAAACCTGCGAATACAAGTCCAACCCTATAAGCCCCTGCATATATTAACACCTATCAGCAAATATAAGCCAGGGCATTATAGGGTTCAAGCATTATATTTGGAGGTTTACAGTAAACTTAATAAGGTTACCCCCTCTTATATTGTCAAACATTTTTATTTAAGGGACTGGTCATAATTTATCAGGGGGTGGGGGGGGAGGAGGTGTAATTCAAAATTTTAAGGAATGATATTTTGTGACCCTGCTTTGCCATAACCTGGAAAAATAATGCTCCCCCCACCCCACCCTCTCGTATGTGAGAAGAACAAAATGTGAGAAGGCATGTATAAAACAATTAATTGAACTAAAACAGCAGACCCCCTCCCCGCCTTCATAAACTGTCTAATATTTTATGAACCCCTCTTTTTCCTGGCTAAAAAATATGTGACACCTCCCCCCTCTTCACTCCCCAATTATGAATGTTGAATAAAGGTTAAAAAACATTCTTAGAGGTTAACAGTTGAATAATTAGTATTGACAGATTACATGTATCTTTCTCAGCTGGAGTATTCATCATGCAATTAGGACAAATAAACTCATCATCATCTGTGAAAACCATCACTGAACCTTCGTCACCATTAACATGAGCCCCAGCAGTACGCACTGTTTGCTCAAATTCGCATGTTTCACACTTTCTCACAGAAACCTCCCCTTGTCCATATTTTTCAACAAGTACATCAACTAAAATATAAATTTTTTATCAAATATAATATTGCTGATAAATATACAATTGGAAATTTTACATTTCAAAGAAAAATATACTGACTGAAATTGTCATCAACATTTTCATGTTCAGTCTCAACTGAGTCTGCCGATGTGTCAATGAGTGATGGAGGATTAATATTATGCTTCGTGTACATGAACTTGTCAATCTCCTGGAAAAATTTCCATTCTTTTTTTTGGGTTGGCACTGTTACCGCTTTTATTTTTTTGGTCTTTAACGGGATTTGTATTTTTGATGCAACTTTTTAATTTTTCCAATTACTTCTTTAAGATTGAAATCTATGTATCCCTTCGAATGTAGTTTTACCTGCAATAAATACAATAAACAAGCTCTCGTTGGTTAGGATGCAACTATACCTGAAAAACATAAGAATTTCGACATTTCGCGCGAAGGCCTTTTGGCTTTCGAAGGCCTTTTATTTTAATGCACTACCTACACTGGCACAAACAATTCAATAAATAATGAACCTTGTGATTTTGTGGACTGGACGTTCGAGTCGATTTTTAATACGTGCTCATGTCTATTAAAACAAATGAGTTTTTGTATGACTTGTTTTGTAAAGTTTAAAGTGAAGTAAAATCTGGTCAATTTTTAGCAAAAATGTACACCAAAACAGATAACAATTGTCAAGAAAAAACTGTATATTATTACAAAATAATCATCGCAAAATTGAAAAAAAATATTAGTTGTCGTAAAACTGAAAAAAATATTAAATATTGCTTCAACTTACCAAAATCGTGTTATACACTTGTCTGGTTTCCTTCGACGTTTTGCAATTCTCTAAAGAAAGTTGTATTGTTTCTTCCGACCATAAATTTATGAGAGTTCTTGTTGCTTCTTCTGACCACAATTTTCCTCGATTTTTCCCTTCTTTACACGCCATTTTGCAGTGCGAGAAACAAAACGCATGCGTGAAAAAATAAAAATATGCATAAATGGGGCCGCGGACCCATTTTTAAGCGGGCCGAGACTACCTCCTGAGGAGGTCTCGGCCCGCTTAAAATTTTGGGCCCGCGGACCCTTAATTTTGCGTTTACACGACAAAAATTAAGAGTGCCGTGCCCAAAAAAATGGGTCCGCGTGCCAAAATTTAAGCGTGCCGTGCCTAAAATGACTGTCGTGTAAACGGGGCTTGAGTCTCCAATAACAAGTGTACTCTTACCTTGACTCCCCATTTCATTATCGCTATTTGATTTACTGGTACCTTGATTGACACTGTTCCCAGAGTCAACAGGCCGAATGCGGCCTTTCGTCTTTGCCATTTCTGCTTGCTTGGTGTGTTAGACTTTTATCTTTTAATGATAATAAACAAAAATACTTAAATTATATACAAAAAAATATGATTTAAAAGTCTTAAAAGTGTTCAGAGACTCGCTTTCAAAAGGTTCGCCATACGTTCGTACAAAACAACAACGTTTCCACTTTGGAATGTTTCCACTTTAACTAAAGAAAATTATTGCGTAATGTTTTTCCTATCTTCTTTACACTCCCGAGGGGTATCATTTATGGTATATAAATGATATAATAACACAATATGAAAATTATAGCGTTGAATGTTTATTCGCTTTTCGTAACATTTTTCCAATAATAGCAGTGTTTCTTCTCGGTCTTGCATCATTCCTGGAGGCTGGAACAATGAGATCTGGTTGCTTTACAAGTTGAGTTTCTTCGACTTCGGATACTTGATCTTCTTTCTCGGATGTAGGAGGTAACTCTAACGGTATTAGGTGCTGTATGGGTCGTCGTAACACAATCAATCTTCCCGCATCGCTGTTGACAACACGAACCTTCGCTGCTCTCACCACGTTGTCCCGACTTCGAATCAACTCCTCCACCTTTGCTAACTTCCAACTTCTTGCAGAGCACGCATCGTCTTACTATACGTTTCACTGCTTCCCGTCCCCTTACAATCCAATATTTCTCTCTGATGCTGTTCAAGGTTTCCTTGATTCCGTTATGATGAACAGTCTCGTGATGATCCAGGATAATCAGGTCGGTAAAATGGTGTTTCGGAGGAAGGAGTATCAGCTGTTTCTCTGACAACGACAATGACGATTCACCAATTCGACCATGGCAACGAATAATGTTTTCTTGATCTCGAAACAACCCCAACTGCTTGACTAATAGAGGCTCTTTTTTGTTGACCTGAGACAGATATTGCTCTTCGTCCTTGTAACTGCTCGCTTGGATCGATTTTATCCAGAGTTTTTCTGCTGTTTTCAATTCGTCGGCAGTGAGTAGATCTGATGCTGAACGACGCCTTCTCGCGTTGTTGATGAATCGCTTTACCGACGCTGTAACTCGTAACAACCTCGTACGGCTGCTGTAGCGTTTACAGTCAATGACCGCTTCAACATTCGGTGGTAAAACCGTTTTCGATATACTGTTCAATGATCTCGTAATCGAAGGCGGTGTCTTTGGTTTCATCATTTCACCGTTGGCCTCGTTCTCCTTGATTTCGGTTGTTCCTGGTTCAGATGGCCACATTTCCTTAGAGAACTGAAGAAATTCTGCTCCATTCCACCAAGTTTCATTCTCAAATAGATCTGTTCCACGAATTCCACAGGAGGGTAGGTCGGCGGGATTCTTTTCTCCCGGGCAAAACTTCCAGGATTCTATGTCGGTAAGCTTTCGTATTTCACTAACACGGTGTTGTACGTACGGTTTCCACGCCTTGTGGTTTCTAATCCAACATAACACAGTACGGGAATCAGTCCACAGAAAAACTTTGGGAACAAGGGGCAAGGCTGAAATAGCCCTTTGCACCGAACTTACTAAACGTGCGAGGATGGTAGCACCTAGGAGCTCAAGACGCGGAATTGACTGACGTTTAATAGGAGCGACTCTTGTTTTCGATGCGACTAGGAAAACTTCGGTTTTCTTATTGCAATGTACTGTCCGTAAATATACTACCGCGGCGTATGCTTTGGACGAAGCGTCACAAAACCCGTGAAGTTCATACGACAAGCTATCGTTGTTTGCGTAAGTGAAGTAACATCGTGATACTCTAATGGTTCTCATGGCATAAAGATCGTTAATAATTTGGTTCCAAGAATCTAATAACTTTCCAACTAACGGATCATCCCAGTTCGTACCATCGATGCATAACTCTTGAAACAACAACTTCATTACGATAGTAAACGGAGCTAGAAGACCTAACGGGTCGAAAATCTTGGCAGATAATCGTAGCACGGCGCGCTTTGTCGATGGAAGCGTTTTGACAAAGTCTATCAGTTTAGTTAAGTCATACTCGAATTCATCGCTTTCAGTGTTCCAGGGTATTCCTAGGATCTTAACGGAAGAATGTTCATCTTCTGCCGATGGGTCAGAAACTGACTGGTCTTCCAATGTGGCTGGTTCTGTAATATCTCAATAAAACTTGCTTGAAGAGGGCATTAACCCGCTTTCGTTTTCTTCGCCCGATTCTACGTATTTTTCAATTATCTCGACAGTACGCTCGCTCCCGAGGGGTTTCACAATCTTTATCGCTTCTTCACACGGTTTGATTTGCTTTTCTTCGGCGGCAACTCTCTCTTGGAACACCCTCGAGTTCGATGTCCACTTTCGCAGCCCGAAACCACCGTCTTTCATGATTTCATTCGACTTCTCGTAAATTTCAATTGCCTGATCATCATGTGTAGAACCGCCAACAAAATCGTCTACATAAAACGAATCTTGAAGCAAGGCAGTGACCATTGGCTCTTTCTGTTCGTACTTTTCTAAATGATGCTGTATAAGGGATGACAAAATAGCCGGACTCGACGTAAGCCTGAACACCAGGCGGCAAAACTGAAATTGAACAATCTCGGGATGTTCTTTGAATATGTCGTCAAACCATAAAAATCGAAGCATCTTTCGGTCATCAGGATGTATTTCAATCTGGTGAAAAGCCTTTTCGACGTCGGCAGCAATTCCAATTGGATATCCTCGAAATTTGACCAGTACATCGAAAAGATGAGGCACCAAATTGGGACCCTTTTCGAGACATTCGTTGATTGAAAATGTCGATTCAGCATGTTTGACAGACCCATCAAACACAACTCGAACCTTCGTGGTACTCTTTTCGCGACGCACAACCGCATGATGGGGTAAGTAATGCGCGGATTCATCGTGTCCGGGTTTTTCGGCAATTCGCTCGATAATTCCCAGGTCTTGCTGCTGCTTAATAACATTAGAGTACTCTTTCAAAAGTTCCGGGTCCTTCTTGAAACGAGAATGAGTTTGTCGTAATCTACTGAGACAAGCTGAAAACCCACTTTCAATCGGTAGACATCCCTCTTTCCACGGTAGACTCACTTGATATCGTTGGCTCACTTCATTAAATTGTACTCCTCTCAGAAATTCACTTTCGGTTGGATTCATCTGGCTCGATAATTCCAACAGACTCTGTGTTCCAAAACTTTCGAACAGCATTCGTTAATTCATCTTCGTTCTCTTTCATGAAGAGATCGGCAGGGTAGGTATGTTCTGATCGTTCTAACATGAGATTTGTCTGTGTCTCGTTATTTCCGGTGTTCAATGCTTGAGCATTTCCTGAGATCAGCCAGCCAAACTCACTTTGCACTGCAACAGGACCGTTGTCCCCTCGTCGGATTTCTCCCATAATTACTTCAAAATAATAATCAG